CTTATACTCTATGGAATATGCCTCAGCCATAAAAAAACAAGGCCCTTGCATTTGATAGAAAGTGGTCGGATATGGCAGATCTATTACTGAGTGAAGCAAGCCAGGATATGAAAGAAATATATTGTATGTATCCACTTAATATATACTGACTATCTGCACTTTATGGTAGAAATCATAATATTGGAGAGCATATAAGCAGTGAAAATTGTTAACGATGATGAAGACAGTGTGGAACAGGGTGGGAGAAGAGAAGAGAAGAGTATGGAGAAAGATAGCAAGAGAACAAATAGAGAGGCATGACATTAGTGGGACACAGAAATTGACCTGTTGATGATGACGTGTATAGTATTCTCAACTGGACTGGTCTGAGAAGTATTTCATGTTGGGTAAAGTCTTTTTACAAATGAAATGATAGATAGTGATTGAGTGTTTAAAAAATAATTGGGATAATAATGGTAATAATCATCTAGAAAAAAATAATGAAAAACTATTTGATGATGGTGGGGATTTTAATTTCTTTGTATTGACTGATATGCATGGTATTCCTTCTGGAAAAAGAAATGTAATACACTTTAAAGTTATATGTGATTCAGTGTAATATAAACAAGATTATGATCATAAGAACATAAATAATTTCTCTCCATTGGAAGGAGTTCTCTTTGCCACTATCTTTCAGGCCTATCCTGGACTAAGACTGTATTAAGGCAGCCTTCCTTTTTTTGTTTTTCCTTTGGTTTTTGGAGAGGTTTTTTTGCTATAGGGCACGTGCGCTCGCCAGAAAGACAGAGAGAGACAGAGAGATAGAAAGCAAGAAATCACCTCCCAGGGGGGATGGCCACGCTGCAATCCCTTCTCCTCCATTCTCCTTTCGGGATTTTGGGCACGCACGCACATGCGCTCGGCATGAGTTTTAAGACACCAGGTCCAGAACTCAAACTGCGGTAGACTATGTGGGAGTCCAGCGACATAGCCATTTCGCTAACTGCTGGTCCCAAGGCAGCCTTCCTTTTGTGGTGGGTTCCAGCATGCCATACACATACATCCAAAAACTAGATCCATGCTTTATTTTTTTTCTTACTCTGTTCTCTAGTCACAGGAAATGCCTTTATTTGTCCATAAACGTGGGTTGCTAGAGAGGCAGCAAACTGTAGGAGGAGGTAGCTTGAAAGTCTGAACATCCTGCTTGTGCAGTTTCCTTGCAACTTGCATCATGCTTAGGTTCAGTCAGTTATACGAAATTCTTACCTTAAAATGTAAGGCTTCTGGGGCCAGCAGGTGACAGTGGTTAAGGTGCTGGATTCCCACATGGTTGACCATGATCTGAATCTTGGACCTGGCCATTTGAAACTCACACTGGGCACATGTGCATGCATGCCCAAAATCCTAAGAGGAGAATGGAAGAGAAAGGATTGTGGCATGGACATTCCTCCCAGAGGATGATTTCTCACATTCCCTTTCTCTGTCTGTCTCTCTATTGAGTGCATGCATCCTATAGCAAAAATCACTCTCTCAAAAAAAAAAAAAGTAATGCTGCAGTGCACATCTAGCCTTATGGGGCGTGTGTGTGTGTGTGTGTGTGTGTGTATGTGTGCATATGTTACTTTAAGATGAGGTACTATTACGATGGGGTCCTATTATGTTATAATCCTCCTGCCTCAGCCTACAAAGTAGCTGGGACTATAGGGACACATCACTGTCCCTGGCCTTTCAGTGTGGACAGGGAAGAGAACCTGGGCCTCACCTATGGCCGTAACTGCCAAACAGCAGTGCCCAGTGCATGCTACCATATCTGGAGTCCCTAGGCATCTCATAGTACAGAGTATTTTCTCCTCCAAATGCCATGATGACTGTGGTAGCTAAACAGTTCCATTGCTAAATTTGAGTAGCAATTCTCTGAGAAAACACAAAATTGACAGGTGTGTTCAACTGGTAGGGTGGGACCTGAAAGGAGTTTCCTAGAATTTTCTCTAAGGAAACAGGAATCAAGTAGAGTACAGATGAGAACAGTGTATGCTACTTGAATTTAATCACAGCTTCCTATATCTGAATCTTGTGGAGATGGCTGCATGCAAAAACACTTACAAATCAACAGACAGAAAGGATCGTTTTGCTAAAAAACTGAAATCCATCAGGTACCAAAGCATCACTGGATTGTTACCCAGTTGGATATGACTAATGTGAGGAAAAGAGATTATCCCATACTTCAGTAGGTATCCTGGGGTGGGATAGGTGGGTTTGGCTCACTGGGTACTCCAGGAAATAAACTGGGCTTTGTTACCACGAGGACTCCACCCCATCCATACCAGCAGGGCCTTAGGAAGTTCCAACACTTACAAGAAGGGGCACAGTGCCTAGCAGACATATACCCAGAGAGGATGGCACTTGTCATTTGGGATCCTAGACTTATTGAGATGTACCAAATTTGTCCTCCAAATGTTTGGTGGGGTCTTGATTCTGCTAGTGTAGGGGAGAAGAGAGAAGCGAACACAAAACACTTCACATATTCTGTACCTTATCTAATCCACTTGGCAGTTCTGGAAGTAAGAATTATCCTTATTTGACAGGTGGCAAGACGATCCCTTAGATCAATGGATCTTTAATACCCACAGGTGGATTCCTCCAGATGTAAGTCTCAGAAGTAATGTGAGTTTTACCTATCATTTTAAGTTTTATTGACAAGAATTTTAAGTATATTCACTGCCTTCATAAGCTCACTAAATCACTCTTTTTTTGTACAGAAATACTCAATTTTTTTGAAATTTATTTGTAACAGCCCCAAAGTGGGAACAGCTTAAATAACAATCATTTTCAATGCTTTTAATGTACTGTTTCTAATTTTGAATGTTTTTTGAGAAAAGTAATATGTGTTCATTAGGGAAAAAAATAACAGATGAATAGGAAGAAAGGAAACAAATGAAAGCACCTGCAATCTAACAACTTAGAAAACCATTAACCTCTTTTTAAAAAGATGATTTTATTTAACTTTATTTATTTACTCATTTTAATTTGACCAGAGAGGGACACAATGAAAGAGAAAGAGAGACAGAGAAAGTGAGAGAGCAAGCTGCCAGGTCCAGTACTTGAACCACAGCCATGTGGGAGACCAGCACTCTTAATCATGCCACTCGCAGGCCCCACTATTAACCTTTTAGTGAACAAAACTTTCTCTTTTTCCTATGCATAGATGTACTATATACATTTACTTTTTTTTTTTTCACAAGAACACACCAGTTCTATAGATGATAGTATAAGCTGCTTTATTTTTTCAAGAATCATAATGTCTTTACAATGCGTATGGGTGAAAATTAGTTATTGAAACATACAGCAAGTGCCCCAACTGGGTCAAAAGGCTGCTGGTAACAGGAAGGACACCTAAAGCAATATATAGGATAAGATTAAAGCACAGGGCCTGGCAAATGCCTGCTAGGGCCACTACACATAAGGAATGTCTTCAGTGTCCCTTCTTGGGGCCCTGCAGCCACCCCTGAATTCCCTTGGCCCCCTCGGGTAAAAGGGGTCCTGTAAATTTCTTTGCATCCACAAAAACCCCCCCAACTTCTGTCTGCTTTTTCTCGATTTATCTTCCACCCTAGCCATATTGTCAAATTCTCTTATCATGTCCTCATTGCTGAAATTCATATCATGTACAGCCTCTTTATACTCCTTGAGGTACTGAGCCAGCCCCTTGTTGGTTTTTCTTTTGGCTTTCCTGGGTACATCATCCTCAGCTGGACGCTTCACAGCAGCTCTTGTTTCACTCTCTGGCTTTCCCTCGCTCTTTGACTTTCCTTCACTTTCTGGCTTTCCCTCACTGTCTGTCTTTCCCTCACTGTCTGTCTTTCCCTCACTGTCTGTCTTCTCCTTACTGTCTAGATTTCCCTCAGGCTCTGGCTTTGCTTCGTCTTTTGCCTTTCCCTTACTTTCTGGCTTTTCCTTGTACTTTAGTATTTCCTCATTTTCAGGCTTTCCCTCATTTTGCAAGTTCTTGTCATTCAGAGTACAAAGTACTTCTGGCTTTCCCTCATCCTCTGGCTGTTCTTCCTTATCCATCTTTCTTTCTTTCAAAGGCATTCCTTCATTTATATCGCAGGGTTTTTCCATGTTGAGATTTCACCTCCTTCTCTTGTCCTGGGGGTGGGGTAGGGGAAGAGACAGAGCAGACACGGAGTTTGAGTGCTTGGGGAGTGCAGGTCAGGACAGTCCTTGCATCTCCCCCATGAGGGTTCCCCAAAGCCTTCCAGGTGTGCCTTCTTCCCATCCCTTCCCCCAGTCCTCCCAGCCACGGAGCCAACCATTCCCTGGCAGGCCCTGCCACCATCTCTACACCTGGTCAGCATGGCAAGGTGTGTGTCTTGTGTGTGTGCATGTGTGTGTCTTGTGTGTGTGCATGTGTATGTATTGTGTGTGTGCAGGTGTATTGGGGGGAGTGGGCCGTGGGGTCCCAATTCTGTCCAGGCCATGCCCTCCCTCCCCGCTGCCATCCCTCCTGGGTCCCTGTCAGTGCCTCCCTCCCTCTCACTGACCTGCAGGGATTCTGGACAGGTCGCTCCTCCTTTTCAGGCCCCGCAGAGTGCTGGGACCCACAGGCGCGCAGACCTGCAGAGGGACAGGGGACAGGGGACAAGGGACAGGGAACAGGGCAAGGCTGCGCACTCAGCGGACTCCCAGGGACTCAGGCCCTTTCCTGAAGCTGAGCCCTTCTCATTCAACATGTCTTCCTCCATCTCTACCGCACCCCAGTCGCCATTTCTTTCAGGCTCTGGCAGGCACGAAGCCAGGATGCTTCAGGCTCGGGCAGGCACGAAGCCAGGATGCTTTCCAAGCTCTGTCTGGGTCACTGGGTCCCCTTCTCCAGGAGGCAACCTGGCCCACCCCACCCCCTTTTGGCGGAGGTCAGCCGGTCTTTGCAGGGGCAGAGTGTGAGGGGGGCCATCCCAGACTATGTCTACGTTTCATTGTCATCTACGTTTCACTGTCGCACTGCGGGGGCGACCCCCCTCCATTTCCAGCTCTAGAAAGAGGGTTTAGGGTAGGGGGTTCAGGAAGACGGCCCCGGCCGCTGCGGGGTCCTCCCTCCCCTCCTTCTCCGTGGTCCCGCTGCTCCTGGATCCGACCGTCACCCGCTCCACCCCGCCCCGCACCAGGCAGCAGCGCCCACCTTCGCACTGACCTGCGGGGACCCGGGACAGGCCTGCGCCTCC